CTAAAGAAATACCTTAGCTACATGTACAAGTTAAAACCTCTATCTCCCCCCTCCCCCCCCCCCCCCACCAAAAAAAATATATCACAACAAAATAAGGTGTCATCCTACACTTTATCTGTCTTCAAATATAATCTTATGCTAAGTGCATTTGGTGATAGGCTTCAAAACAAGTTTTGACTATAACACATTGTGAATGTAACAAAATTACAAGAGTAAAGCCGCAGTACATCTAAAAGATTCTTGATAATCCAAGACTTCAGATAATGAGGCAAGATGGATGCTCGTTAAAACTGCATATACATGTAGGCCTACAACACTTCAAGTTTTAAAATCCAATTAATTTACGCGTAAAAAACTTTCGTTTGTAAAGGTCACAATGTGAAACTCATTTTTATCATTACTACTGTCTAATCTTCCCCCAGTCCGCATCCTGTTCGACTCTTTTCTTTGTTCTTATTCCGCTCTGATTCTCTAATTTCTTTCCAATTCTCTGTCACAATATCAGTCCTCTGATCGCTTTTTAACTCTCTCTCCCATAACAAAACCCAGTACGTCGCATTTCCTCTTCTCCCAAGTCTCCGTTAATCATTTCTCCCTTTTCCTTTCTGACCCTCCCTTTCTTTTCCTTATCTAATTAGTACTAAAGCCTCCACCATCATCACCCTCTTATGTTTCTCTCCCTTCCTCTCTCATTTCCATTCTCTCTCTCAATAGATGATCTCTCTCCCTCTATCTCTCTCTCTCTCCCTCTATCTCCCTCTCTCTCTCTCTCTCCCCCTCTCTCTCTCTCTCTCTCTCCCTCTCCATCTCTCTCTCTCTCTCTTCCTCTCTCTCCTCCAAAGTGGCCATTTCCTTCCTTTACTAATAATTTCCCTCAGCTTTTTTTCATGAACCCACTGTCAATGTCACTGGTTCGCATTAGGTTGGAAATCCCAGGCGAGTTGATGATAGATTAAACAGGATCTCCCCTGTACACACACACTATATGCAGTCCATTGCTAATTGAATAATTCGCAAGTGCAATTGAAGGGTTACTGGCCATGTGACCAATACACATGAGCAAAAAGTAATGTGTGAAAAAAACTAATGTGTTCCCCCGCAATACTCCTATCAATGTATATATCATAGCCTTTTTACGATGTATATCGTATAAAACCTTTGTCCCCTTTTTGTAAATTGAATAAAATGAGCTTGTACTAGCCTACAGAATGTATTGGATGCATGCCTGCTGGAGGATGTATCTGAACAATAGATACCGGTAATCATTGTCAAACTACACAGCTTTAACAAGAAAGATTCCCTGACTGGAAAGATTCTTAGAAAATCATTACAAAAATAGCTTTTCTGTGAAATCAATTCAAAACCAAACTGTTGTAAGAACATTAGCACTATCTTTTTCGAACAGCATCAAGCATATTCCATGTAATCCAAGATTATACACATTTTACACTACAAACATAAATTCTAGCAATCTGAAAGTGAAATTACTAAGTACAGTGTTTCTTGGAATGGAGATACACAGGCATGTATGCTCATTCTCGCATCAAGCATAATGTAATTTGCAATTGTATCTAAAACTTCAAGGTGCAATGCAGGCAAATCTCATTCCACCAATCTCCTTTAAGTCTGCGGGAGCGAAAATTACAGCGGAAATGGTTAATGTTGGCGCAAACTTGGATGATTTTTCAATATGGCTGTGCTTGTGAGGGGAGTCTAAAAGGCATCAGCTCAAATTTGGATAGGAAAGGCAGACGAAAGAGATTGTTTTTCCTCGTGTTCAAGTTCAGTGAAATGTGCTCAGTCTATCAGAAACAGGAAAGGGATAGTGTGAAGAAAATGTGAATTACTGAAGAAAAAAGCTGCAACTCTTTGCATTTTAGTCATGTGATCATCTTGAATTTCAATGATTGCTGACATCTTTCTTCTAGCTTGTTTTTGTTTTTTTCCCAATCAACGTGAACAATTGGTGTTATTTCTTATCACATTGCTCACAAGCTAACTCGTGGGAAAACCTGTTAGCAGCCAGCGAAGGGAGGGATGAAAAACTATTTGTTTAACCATATTTATGAATTTACTAGACATTTTAGTTCTGAACTAATTTATAATTGAAATGAATCTTGGAATACAATTCTACAACAAGCTTTGCAGAATTTCAGCTACAAAGTGCATATATTGCAGAAATTGATAATATAATTTCATTTGTTCATTCAAATTCGTGGAGAGGAGAGTGTCTACTATCGTACATTTTTTAGAAATAATAATGTGCACTTTTATCACTCTATCCATAAATCACATCTCGTTCTCTAATTACATGTACCTCGATCAAAAGACAGCATTTCCCTTTCAACCGGTAGGAAAAAATTTGGAAGGATATCCATTATCTTGTCATACAACCCCCCCCCCCCCCTCCCCCACTCAAAAACATGAATAGCATAGAAATCCATCACAGGGAAAACTCTTTAAGGGTACGTTTAAGCTCAGCTTTTAGGCCATAATGAGGCATTTAGTTCAAAACACGGTTGCATCCTTTCTCATTTTCGTATAAACGCCAATAGACGCTGATCATAAACTCACAAACAGGTGCGTTTTCGATCGGCGTTTCTGGGGAAGCATAAACGCACAATCATTCGTAAACACGTTAATACGGTGCACAATATATATATTAAGCTTGTTTTCTTCTCAAGGCATGCACAGGCACGAGCAGAGTCATCCGAGCAAGATCATTTGTAACCTGTTAACTTAATACTAAGTACTTCTTCCATATTTATATCATTGAGTTGAAATGAGTGTCATGGGCTCAAACTACAGCGAAGAGGGCCCTTCTCCTCGCTTGGTCCGAACCCGAAATGGAAGATGAATTGAATGAGTTTCAAAAAAGTGGCGCCCCAACTTGAACTGGCCTCCCGGGGTCAATGTAGCATGCGCAGTGCAGGTTTGCGAATCCAGATACAGAGCCTGAATTCGCCTGGAGAAGGGAAGCATAAACGGTAACCCCGTGGAACTGCCTTTACGATGAGCGTTTCAAAACGCTCATGAATTCTACCTTCAAAAGTGAGCACAAACGCACCCTAAGACTAAGGCAAAGACACATCTGTATATATTGATCAAAGTCACATACTATGCATTTTGAATAAAAATACAAACATATCGGCCTATACAACATACATGTACGTACCACTGAAAAGTAATACTTGTGCAAAAATTGCTGGGGTGTTTTAAAGCACATGACTCGGTATATCATGTGATAATGGATTTATAGCTACAATGATATCAAATGGGCCAATATGTATACAAATGGCTGATAGTGACATGATTGATATATTTTGTCAGGCATGTCATTGTTGATTTGGATTATAGTATTCTTCATTCAGTATTTCAGTTCAGGACAATCTTGCCAAAATTAATGATCCATGTATAATAAAAGGTTAGAATCCATCAAATTTTGTTCCATACCCAATGATCTTTTAAAATCCATATATTTTTGCCATTGTTCATAAAGTGTTGTCAACGATAAAGTCAGTAAAATGAGCTATTGTAAGGGACAATGGTTCAACAATGGTTCAATATTACCGCAGGTTGATCGCAAAAAGGTCTTGAGGTAACAGAGAAATAATAGTTACATTTGTATGGTGCTTATTACTATGTTTCTGATCACTTTACATTGTGATTATTATTACCCCGGTCATTGGATCCAATCGCTCATCAGCTCATGATAGTGCACACACTCTGCTCCCTAGGGAGTCATTTTTAGTTTAAGCGCACACAGGCTGCCAATATAACCAAATTGTTAATGTATGTATTCTATCGGGTACCCATTTAACACCTCGGTGGAGAGTGGCAAATGTAGATCATTGTCTTGCCAAAGGACATTGGTGCTATATCTGCCACGGGACTCAGAGCGCAAACAAATGTGATCCACAGTCCAGTGATGTATCGCCACTAGACCAGGATACCTATACTTTCTTATTAGTATTACATCCTCATTATTTTATTATTAATATTATTATCATTTTCTATATAATCATTGTAGGGTTATTATTATCATCAATCATTTATTATTTCCTGTATATTGCATATTGGTAATAAACATTATTATTCTTTACTGAATATTATAATTAAGCGCTGCATATATGCATATTAAATATCTACTAGCGGTACTTATTTTGTAACTAGTCTTGAATGAGAGGAGAAAGGGGCCTATAGTAATATTCAAATTAAAAAATACTGCACTGTCTTGATGAATTATATAACATACCAAATGAAAGAAAAAAGTGAAAGGCGTAAGTATTCTCAAAAAGAATGAAACGCAGATAATTATTAATACCCCAAAAAACAAAACAAAAAACACTTTAATATTTTTATTGACAGAAAATATATTACAGTAAATTTGCACAGGTCTGCAGAATATTGTAAATTTCATGACAGATTAGGGCACACTTGTGATATTAACACAAAAATATTTGCATGCTCAGTGATGCAACATCAAACTGAATGCAAGAATTGTGAAGATAATATTTGCACAAAAATCATGAAATGAGAAGCATTCACCAGCACCACACCGACACTCTCTGGCTATAATCAGTCATGTGTCATTCAAGTCCTAAAATAATAGCTAAGCAAGTAATAATGGCATATAAGGGTTGGTTGGTAATTCTTTATTTGAACGGTGATCTCAAGGTTCAATTATGTGAAAACATCAAACACAAAAGAAAGGTATGCAGTGTTGAAAATATGTGCATGCACCACTCTCTAAGCTCTGCTGCTTGGCTACACGAGATAGAGCTATGCGGTAAGTACTGCGCGCGTCGCGGCCGCTAGGGCGAAACATGAGCGACTGGTGTGATTATGGTAGGCAATGCAAGTAACGTGCAAACAGGTTGCCACTGCGCTGTGATGATATCCGAAACCACCTCTCAAAACGATACGGGTCACACATCACTATTCCGTATTAATATTTCCGATCAGATTTTATAGTCTGACAAAATTTTGATCAATCTCACCTTCTTTTGGATCTGTTTCAACGAGTGTAGCCGCTCGAGAAAGCACATCGAGTGGTGTTTCCATCATGACAATTTTCTCTTGCACTCGATTCGCTCTTCAATTCCACACACGGACAGAAAACGTAGATTGCTGGTCTATGAGTATGATTGGTAAACAAAGGACAGAATATGTAGAACAACAGTAAAATGCTTCTACACCGGTAGGAAAATTTGAGGAAAAATCTGTGAGAAGTGTTTTCTTTTCGGAAAATTGGTTTCAGTGAATGGTCTTCCAAAACGCATGTCGATCACAATGGGCTTATAAATTTTGCAGCCACAAACAATCACCAGTTCGCAACGGGGATCAAACAAGTTGATAGAAAATATGCCAGGAATGAAGGAATGTGTATTGAGTAGGGCCATACCATTCACAAAGAGGGACAATGTATTTTGATAGCTCTGTTTGGTTGTGTATTTGAAGAGCTTCCCCTTGATAATTCTACCTGAAAATATATATATATATCATTACAGTTATAATAACCTTATCATTACATATAAAATATGTCCATGAAATATCGTACAAACAAGATATTAATTTTTACACTCATTGGAATGAATTTACAAACCCTGTGAAAAGTGCATGTTTCGGAATTTCATGGGTATTGAACTACCTGAAAATAGAAAAAAGAGGGACGACCTCCAACCCTCGCCACCGAATCTACACAACCTGTTAAAAATCGATGGATCTCTTTTCACTCAGGAATTTACAAAAGGTGCAATTATTTAGACTGTGTGCATTTATGCATTTTTGTTTCGTCACTTCATATCGTCTTTGGAAATTCAACACGAATTCCATTGTGTTTTTGTTTTGTCATTTAAAATAAAGAGAGAGAGAGAAAGAGAGAGAGAGAGAGCGAAAGAGAGAGAGAGGGGGGGGGGGGGGGAGGGGGGGGGGGGAGAGAGGGGGCCGCGGGAGGGGGAGGGGGAGGGGGCGGGAGGGAGGGGTGGAACAGAAGGAGGTTGAAAAGGAGAGTGAGAGAGACTGTAACAGGGGCTAGATTATTTCATTTTAGTGATGATACGACCAATGTTCTGGGAAAGAGACCAATAAGAGAGGTTCAAGACCCTCCCTATCAAATCTCAATACAAAAGCTTCATATTTTTCAGAAATATTATGTGACAATATACAAGTAATTTTTAGGGCTAGCATACTTGTAATATTCCCCATGAGATGATTCTTCGTCGCTGTTTTCATCATATTATTATCAAAGAGGAAAGATGGAATCATACTTCTTTCATTTTTTCTCGTTTTTTTTCCTTTTCTTGTTCTTTCTTAATAGTGTAAATAAATAATTCACAACCCTTTAGGAATTTTATTTGTCATATATTATATATTGAAAGGTGCTGTACCGATTCAAGCTCTTTATGCTTATATTTCAATGACCTTTGTGTGTTCATTCTTTAAACTGTATAATAGTTGCAACCGTGTCCTTGATAAAACATTGTTATATTCTTTTTCCAGTGAAGTCTATATATTCAAATGAATTGTAAAATTGAAATTGATTTGTTGAATAATACTCTTTTTCATGTGATGTTAACTCAAATGAATTGTTAAATTGTGAACATGGATGCGTAAATAAATAAATAAATAATGTGGAGTAGAGTTCCCCCCCCCCCACCTTCTCCTCCAACCTTGACCAAACAGAAAGAAAAAGAGAAAAGGAAAGGTATATCACGAAGAGAGGCGGAAAATGGTGAAAACCTGAATCAAGGCAAAATACAAAAAAGGCAGCCGAGTGCACCATTGGCCGAGGCTCCCCCCCCCCCCCCAAAAAAAAAAAAAAAACTCGGTAATAAACCTCCGGGATTACCACAACTAGACAGCATATTCTGTAGAGGATTGAAGATGTTTTTGTTTTTTTTAATTCAAGGCCTACATTAATAAAAATCATAATTTCCCTCTACCTAACAAGATTTCGTACGCCTATTTCATATTAAAAACCGAGGAAGAAAAATGTTTCCATCACAGGTTTTACATGTTTCTAATCTAAGATCTAGAAATTGGTGTTGCATCAGGCGCGTACGCAGCGGGAGTGGGGGGGGGGGGGGGGGGTTGGGGTTGAACCCCCCCTCAATTTTTTTTATTTGTGTGATTTTTGATGGAACCCCCCCCCCCCCCTAATACCTTTTTTTTAAAGTGTGCAAAAGGGTGACCCCCAAAATGACCTTACCTCCCTGAGCCGTTGCGAATTTTTTAGGACAAAAAAAAAACGGCTGGTGAGGCGTTGCGAAATTTTCGGTCCGATTTAAAATGTTAACCCCCCCCCCCCCCCCCCTTGAAAAAATCCTGCGTACGCCACTGTGTTGCATTATGTCCATTTTTGTTGTTGTTGGCGTAGTGGGTAATTTGGAGTTCTTAATTATTGTTATATAGGAATGTTGACTTTGTTGTTGTCATCTGTGTTGTTGTTTTGGAAAGAATTTCCTCAAGGACTCAACTACAGTTGGCCAACTGCGGTACGACCATTCCCAACAATCGCCTACTTTGGAAATAAAATACACGAGATCTGAAGATATTGTCTTTTTATCAGGTAAAGTTGTTCCTAAATTCTGATGTTTCCAAAATCATCTATAGCACGGGCAAATCCAGTTAAGCCAAAGTGGCTGCCCAATTCCTCACATATTAATAAACATGAAAATCAAAGAAATAAATCAAAGACAAAAACACCATCGCGACCTGTCGGATTCTTGGAGAGACTAACGGAATTCTTGCGGATATATTTTCTTTCAGGAAGAAAAAAAAAATCCTCCTCTGGCACCCCCCCCCCCCCCCCCAACAGACAATCTTTGATACGTATTAATTTATTTGTATCATAAATAAAGAACTGGTGCCCCCCCCCCCCTTGAAACCCGATCGGCAATAAATTATATACGTGCATTTCGTCTGGTCCAGGATAGCTGAAGCCCCCCCCCCCCTGATAATAATTTTACATGTAGTTATCAAGGTGGTGATTATTTTAATTACCTCTCTCTCTCTCTCTCTCTCTCCCCCCCCCCCCCCCTCTCTTTCCTTCTCTCTCTCTCTCTCTCTATAAATATTCCCCTTTCTTTCCCTCCTCTTCCTTATGCGCAAATGCCTTTTTATCAATTTTCCCAGACGTTAAAAAAGTTAGATAAATAAAACAATGAGTTTGCGTTACACACAGGTTGATTTGTGCACTGAATATCTTGAACGATGTTAACTTTACAATTTTATTATGTTTTCATTCCATAGAATTTAGCATGAGATTTCAGTTTTCACACTTGAATATTCAGAATACCCTATAATTTACCACTTCTTTATGATACAAAATTGCACAAAAATAAGCTCTTGAAGATTCCTTTCTTTACATCAGTGAAAACCATGAAATAAGATAACGTATTTTAAATAAGAAATATGCAGCAGACATTAACCTTTAATTCATATAAAAAAATAAAAATAAAAGAGCCAAGACTTGCGAAAGAACCGTTCAACGGTTTAATGTCTATAACAAATTAACTTTTCGCACTGACGGAGACATAAAAAAGCTGCAGGAACAGACATCTTTAGACCCAACAGTCAGTAATAAATATAATAACAGTCATGAACGGGGAATACCTTAAATCAAGAGCTACATTTATCAATGTACAATTAATGTTCCAGAAACGATGCTTGGATATAAAAAAAAAACTTCTGCAAATTATCATTCAATACATCAAGCAAATTAAACGAGGTTACTATTCTAAACTACCGGTAGCACGATATATATTTAAAGGTTATAAATTTTTATTAGATAAAACAATTGCTCTTTATCTTACCTACGATAATTCGAAATGTATTAGATAACACACAGCAATATCAAATTACTTTATATTCCCACGTTATAGCGATGCATATCCATGTAACATGGTATTAGATAGTTTTCTGGATGAATTACATAATCATCATCCATAAAACTATCTTTCTTGACAAAAACTAAATCAGGTTCAACTAAAGCCTCTAGTAAAAGTTTGGGAAACGTCATACTCATATTCATGTTACTCTCTCTGTATATATATTCATAATTTACACATCGTTAATATTACACAAGACAATATGATGCAGTATAAATAATTCAACCTGTAGTCCGACATTTTATAGAATGTACATATTATGTTCAGTTGCGAGAAAGGTACTATCATTTCATCTGTTTGGAACCAAAAGGGCATTAACTCATGTAGTTTTAACAGACTTGATGCCCTTTTGGATCTGAAAAATGATATCAACAATGAATATACAGTCTTGTTTGTTGTCAACTTCAGCAGCATTAGAAAGTTAAAGCTCTCTTAAGAATTCCCAGAATGCAACAGGGAATACAGATTAATTACAATATCTCCTCTCAAAGTTTTCTCATTTTTGAATAACCACCAAAATGGTAGGGCCAGTTAAATACTCTTTTTTTAAGCTCTCATTTTTCAATTAAAGTAGGGCTCACCATTTACAGGTTATAATACAAGGAATACAGGATACAGGAGAATCTAAAATGAAAGAGTACAAACAAATAGAGACAGATATTGGAATTGTTTACATGACATTATTTTTAACCTGTATTAAGAGCTGTATCCCATTATCCATATACCCGGACAACTGCTCTCTCAGACAACCACACAAAGTACTTTTTGGAATTATCACCTCGTCTGGAAGAGTCGTCCTGGGGAGTAATAATAATTGTCTTATAATATTGTAGTCTATAAGGTTTTTTCAGATGTTTACCACACAATATATTAGTTGAGAATATAATTCTGTTAAGTTATCTATTTGTAGTAGTGTTACAAGTTACAACACAAACTCTTGGTCATAAAAATTTGAACTTTGAAGTACTAGTGCAACAATAAGAGTTTAAGATTGCATGCTAAATTTTAAATAGTTTCTGCCCATGTACAAATAGAGAGAGAAGACTTGATGCTCAATAAAAAATATATGTCTTGTCGACGGAAGTCATTTTTTAAGCACTTGGAATGGAGCACAATGCAGTTTTTTAGTCAGTTAATTACAAGATACAAAGAACATTTTACTATCATGAACTTCATGGTGCAAATTTATTACAAAATTGTGAAGGATAATAAATACAGTTATGGGGTACGAATATTTCATTCCTCCGAAATGGCACAAACAGTTCAATAGTTTCTGTAGTTTTTGAGCAATGAAATATATTTATTACAGCTGCTGATAAGTAACGCCCAACTCACTATCGTCTGTTATCTATCTTCAGCAATCGCTTCGTCATAAGTTGGTAGTTCTACGACTATAGCTGGCGCTAGTAACAATTGTTCTTCAGGCGGGGGAGCATGGCCTTGCACGCCGCCGCCCCCGCCGTCGTCTAGATGACGTTGGACGCATTCTTCGCACATGTGGCTTGTGACTGCAGGGGCGGTCGATGACGAGGCGAGGTTGGTCGATGAGGAGGACGCTAATGGGTTATGATGGATGTCCGTCTGACTGACTTTGTAGTACCTGCAGTAACAAGATGGGAGAAATTGTAGAAGGAAATTATCTTGTGAACTTAGTCATGGATTGCAACAAGAGAGGATAATTACTATTGGTCAGAAGGCTGACATTTTCATGTTTTTGCATTTCTGTTTGGAACTGCATTAACTTAGTTAGAGGCATTGTGAGGAGTCGTAAGAAAGGTAGGGTTGGGGCCTTGGGGGTTCGAAACCCATTGTCCCTATTCAAACACTTTCATTCAGCAAACATCAAATATTAGAGACATGTCGCGTTGTCGGCAAATTTTAGAATTTGATTACTAATTTGTTTTCCTTGTTAGAAAAAAAATTGAACATCTGTCGGCAAATTGAAAGTAAAAAAAAAAAAAATTGGTTTCTGTGAGTGTATTGTCTATTTTTTCCGCTGCTGTTGAGCGTTGTTGGAAATTGTTGGAAATTGTGTGGAGGAAATATGATTAACAACCTCATTCAGTATTCTATAGAAGATCCTGTCCGTGTTCTAAAAATCTCTCTCGTCATGTTTGTATCAGTGGTCAATCAAGTTTCATTTTCATTTCATTTTCATTTCTATATTTTCCTTTCCTACAAACTACAATACATAATAACGAATAATAATAACGAAAGTTACAATCCACCTCCTAAAATAACGAATAAGTAGAAAATTATCATTCCTATTTCCTAATGTAAATTTCTATGATAATAAATGTAGGTCGGTGAACATACTGATAATCAGCAGAGCCACCAATAGCGCCAGGTACATCTCCGACCATAAGTTCAACACCAATGTCCTCACGTCGTAGAATCTCAGCAGTCTCATACAATGGAGGTGGGAGGTGGTCTAAAAAGTCGCCTGACATGTTACCAGTAGGCGGAAGCGGATGTAACACTAATGTTTCATGTATATTGAGGGAAGAGTTTGTGACAGACGCTGTCGCGCCGTCCCCATGACGCGGCGGCGACCGCTGAACGTCGGCGCGGTCGTTGGCGGCACTATGACGTCGATTCGATCGTGAGAAACTTGAAACTCGCTCTCGAATCCCATGAAGGGTTCCTACTCTCCCGCAGGAGTCCGTGGTTAAAAGACAAAGTACCATGGACGAACTGCCCAGAATAACCCCAATGACGCTGATGATTGCCCCGGCGACGTACTCTTTCGTGTTCACACAAATGACAAGTCCAGCAAAGAGAAGTAACGTGGCAAAGATAAGTAGAAGGCCGATGCGGTTACGTTTCTTCCGATATCGACTCCTGCGTCGACGTTCCTCGGCGGACAGCTGAGGATTTCGTTGGACAGTACTGCCAACACCAACGTTGCTGACACCACTAAGACCTCCTATACTACCCGCAGTCAATGATGATACATTGAGCTGGTTTGTGGAATGAACGATGGCGCGCTCTCTTTCAGGATCTTGGAGATCGATTTGATGCATTGTATGGTTTTAAGTTGGTCGTATCCAGGTTCATCGACCTCGATTACGATAATTGTCCAATGACGCTTGATGGGAAAGGCACATTTCGTATTTTTTCTTCATCTCTGGTGAATATTTCACGCTTGGGAATCACGGCATTTTGTGAAGTCTTTGATCCTACATTACTTCAAAGTGATGGCCAAGATAAATTCTGAAATAAAAAGAAAGGAAAAATCATTATGATGAACCAAAGTAACATTCGTTTACTAGTGTAAAAGTACAATGTTTTCTCATCCGACAAGACAGCCCCAAATACATGTACATTGTTTTCAATAATAGCAGACAGAGGAACAAAGTTTGATGAAAATCGGTTAACAAATAAAAATTAAAAAGTTATCAGTAATTCAGAATCATTGCGATCACTATTTAACTCAGGTGAATTAGCAAATCGGTCATGAGTTTCTAATGTTCTTTCCTCGCTATTCAATAGTCATCAATGTTTTAATTTTGGAACCATAATCATTCACTTTGTCTTGATCCACGAGAAGCTTATTTCATCATGTCTTCTCTCAAGCGCATGTTGTTGGTTGCTAGTCTTACGTCCTCTTTAAAGCTCCTCTACAGTGTTGGGCGCCCCAAAAGTCGCAAACAAAATTGACGACAACATTTACTTACATGTTATAGTAATATGAAAGAGGATGTTATTTAACACACAATTCTGCAAGTATTTTCAAAATAAATGTCGAATATTGATGAAAGAATACATTTTGTGTTATACGCAACAAAAAAAATAATGTTTGTATACTTTCTTCAACATTCGTCTTCAAACAAATTTATTTTGAGAATCCTTGCAGAATTCAGTGTTAAATGTCCTCCTCTTTCACTTCATTGTACAATTGAAGTGAAATTTTGCCATCAAATTTTTTGGGCTCCCAACACTTGAGAGAGGTATAAAGGGATATAATATTCTATCACAAAGTTGTTGTAAAAAAATATATATATATTTTTGTGGATAATATGAAAAAGCCAAATTTATTAATGTTTCTGAAAGAAAGGAACCTTTTAGTAATTTTTGATATTGCACATAATAATATGTAGAAAGTAGAAACATGTTATCATCAATACAACGTTGTTTAAGGTAAGGGAAATTCTTTTTCTTCTGGTTTAAATTGATTACATTAAATTGTATTTATTTTATCACGGTAAAACTCACAACGGCCTGAAAAGACTGCTTTTCAGCAAGTCCGTGTTAAAACATAAAACAGATCATATCAACAACAAAAATGAATATAAATACTAGGAAAAACAGATGATATATAAAACAAAGTGAATAGAGAAAGCTAATACACAAAAGAGAATTACTAACACTAAATATTACATGTGTTATATCAAAATTATATAAACAGTTGTTGAGTATAATCAGCAAATGACATAACGAACTCGTGACTGAGTTGTGCATTTGTATCTATTATAAACTAGGGATTTTCATGATTGTTTATAAAATAATCGTCCGACTTCCCTTCTTTTTTTCATTTTTAGTTTGTCAAGTTATTGAAATCAAATTATTTTTGGACAGGGGTTTTGGCCCTCAATTAGAGCCCCAAGGTATCGTCACTATCGTGGGAATTAAAATTCCAATCAGAAGAGTGCCAACACAACAAAATGCCCTTCAATGTGAGTTTCATAGTTCAACTCATTTCGCAGATACTGACGTACTTAAATGTTCTGGTATTGGGTTGACCAGATTACCAGACATCAGGGGCGGCGCCTGAGTATTTTTCTACCAGTACTCCCCATTGGAAGTGGAGAGTAGGGGCCACAATGTGAGTGGCTAATTGTACACAGAGATAAAGTAGAGTACTGGTCATGAAATATCACTGAAGAAGAGACTGGAATTCATTGAAAGGTGTGACGTATTAAAGTGACTCAGTAACATTGTTGAAAGGTTAATGAAAAAATGTGTAATTTTTGTATGAAACGTTACTTATTATATTCCTTCTATACTGTACTATCCCTCTAACAGGCAAACAATCCAGAGAAAATTCTCACACCACAAAGATATTTATACATGTAGTTTTCTCTGAAGGCATCACTGTGCAACACCCTCGAGTAGTGAGTAGTGATCAACAGTAAATTCTCCCAACCATTTTTTAACTTTCCCAACCGTTTTCCTTGGAAATAAGACATAAGATAGGCTTTTAAAAATGTTTCAACACTTTAATGTCTGGAATAGAAGAGCCAATTCATTGCTTTGTGGTGATTTACATTCACCTAAATTGTAATTAAACTGTAATAATATAGTTGGGAGAATTAAGGAATCGATCAAATCAGTTTTTCCCCAATATTTGTCATTAATAATGCTCCGTTTTTACTCAAACTTACAGATTATTTGTAATTGTACATCTACTGTAGCATTGAAGTCACTACCTTAGCACCATTTTCTTTCATCTGAACAATGTTACCAAGTCCCTTTAAAGATTTAATGTGTATTGAGAGGTTTTGGACTCATTATCATTTGACAACAAATTGGCACACTCTTGCTGATCACATACAGTAAAAAAAAATTTTTTAAAACACTGCAAAATAATTGAGTATAAGGGACTTCACACATATATAGAAGTGGCATAAAATTTGGTTTAAATTACTTTTGGGATATACATGTATATCCTAGTGACAGGGTGTACAAGGTATTTCCACAAGTCCATGGACAGGACTAGAAAACTCAATGTCATGTGTTCTTGTTGTGATTGCGGCCCCAGAAATCAAGTACGACTATACTCTACAAAGAGGACTGTACTCAATGAAAGAAGAAGAACTGAAAATGAAAAAAAAACTGAAATATTACTTAACCTGTACCAGTGTAACTCATTAACATGCTTTTTAAGTTCAGACACCCACTGTTAAAGTATTATTTTGTTTAATATTTGTTATTTGTCTACCAAATCATGGAGGAGCACAAAAGGTTCCTGACTCCTCCCCTTCTGTAACATTGCCCATACACATTATTAATGCAGATTTATACATCAGATGGAGTCATATCTGGATGAATCCTTACAAACAAATCTCAAGTTCTGGACTAATTATTAGCAATGAAGAAACAATTTAGACTGAAAATCACTGAATCATGATTAGTCTATATGCAATTTCTATTTTCTAGAAAACTACAATTATATTATCATGTGTAGGCCTAAATTGAATAATCTACATTTTAAACTTTTTTTCAAGATATCGCAACTGATATATCAAAGGAGGAATAAGAAGCATGTCTTTGTCTCTCATACTATCAGTACTACAAAGGAAGGGCATATTTTTACTTGCACAGACACACTCATTTTTATTGTATAGTCCAGTCTATGTGATGTGAGAGCATGGTGTTAGTAACTCCATGGTGAGAGTGAGCTGAGACAACACAAACTTTGCACCTGCACCTTGGTTCATATCATTGGCATATTATATAGACTAGTCTATGACACTATTGATAATCCCGGTATGGTATACCGAATTACCGATAGCTTCTAAGGAGCTGCTGTTTGGGATTCATAATTACTGCATCAAGTTAATGTAGATTTTTTTCTCCAAGCTTTTAACACTAGAACTAGTACAGATCTAGGCCTAGATCTACTGGTCTTGACTCCGGCTACTTTTCAAATTCTTCACATTTAGGGGTACTTCAGAAGTTCATGAGAATCAACATCATCATCATCATCAAACAGTAGATCTGTGTTTTTATCATGAAGGAAATTAGGTGAAAGAGGAATAATCAATGAATAAGGAAAGGGAGCTCTCTGATAGCACATATTTCCCCCGATATAGTCTAGACCAGGCTTGGCCTAGATCACGATGATTTAATCCTAAATCCTCAAATTATGCACTTGATCTGAGTCGAGACTAGAGTAGAGTCTAGATCCTCTTCAATCTTCATCATGTGCTGGATCTTCTAATTAATGCAGATCAGGGAATAATTTTCTTCAAATTTTTTGATTAGCAATTTCAGGCGATGGATAAATATTTCAAATGAAATTCTGTACATTTCTATGGAAGAAAACTGCTACATAAAAGATATTTTGTATAGCAGTCAATTGCGATGCGATACCAGGAAAATTATTCCCTGCAGATGATCTAATTCTAAATCCTCTAATTACGCAGATGATCTACATCTACTGATCTAGACCCTCTAATTATGCAGATGACCGTTAGATCATCAGCTCTAATTATACAACACGTAACAAATAAAACGTTGGCAAATGTTAAATGTATGCTAACACAACGAACACAATGGCAATGCACGCCACACCACACCGTACCACACCACACAACACGCCATGAATTATTTATCACTTTCTAGATTCTAGTTTCTCAACATAACTCCAAGGATAAAAAGACGATTCGTCTACTCACTCTATTCTTTCTTCTCGAGACTAGGATTCCCAATGATATCAAAGAAAGCCATCAACAAACAAGCATCTTTCAAAAATCTTTATTCCGCTATCTTTTCTTGCATCAACATATCCACGATGTTATGTTTATGTTTTGTCTGAACTTTGCAATGGATTATATAGGTACGATGCGTTGCGTGCTAATACCGTACCATAGTACAGTCCGTTACGGTACCATTCATAGATAGCTGAATGAGCTTGAATACTCCTTGAATACACACTACGTGATAAATTACAACACAGCTCGATCGTCTGGAATGTCAATTTACTACACGCACATAATCCAATACTTCCGACCACATGGCTGTATGAAAATAGTTCTCCTTCAACACATCATGAACAGTGGACGTTTCTCCTGGTCAGACATGCTTTCTACTCCCTTATAGATTGGTATGTGATCTGTGTATTTATACCGGTGAATTCATCGTAGACTAAAAATAGAGAGGTTGTACAAAAAAGAAGAGAGTAGTATTTACGCCGCCACGGCCATATCGTGCACGCGTGCCACATTACGTACGTACGTTCGTCCGTTTCCATTCATAATAATACGACATCGACAAGACATCAACATCGCTAGCGGTCATCACACTTTTGGGATGGCTCAAAGGCGGCCCTCAGGGGGAGGGGGGGGGGGGCACAATGCCCCCACTTTTTCTAGTATCACCAAATTGCCGCTTTTTACATAGGAAAAGTGCCCCTTTAACTTTGTAAGAAGTGCCCCTTCTACTTTGACAAGAGCCCCTATTAATTTGTAAAAGTGTCTCTTCCCCTTTTCACCTCTGAAAAGTGCCCCTTTTCTTTCGAAAAGCTCCCATTTGACTTTACAATGAGTGTCGATGTCCATTGTTATAAGTGCCTTTTTTAATCTCTAGTAAGTGCCCTCTTTTCAGGTACGAAAAATGCCCCTTTTTCACTTTTGATAAGTTCCTCCTTCAACTGGCCTTTTCAAATCTGTGTTGTGCCCCTTTTACCTCGACCAATGGTCCTTTTTCCTTTGTAAGAAGTGCCCCTTCTCCTATACCCCTGTTTTTACTCGGATAAGCGCACCTTATATTTCACATTATGTCCTTTTTCCTTTCTAATAAGTGCCCCTTTTCATGATGATAACTGCCCCCATTTTAAAAAAGAGCCCCTTTCCCTTTCATCAAACCCCTTTTTGATCTATTTAAGGTTTGAGAAGTTACTTTAACTTCAGATAAGTGCCCCCTTCACCTCCGATAATTGCCTCATATTCAAATCTGAGAGTTACTGGTGAGTTTCCCTTTTCACCTCTATTAACTGTCCCTTTTATTTTTACACGTGCCCCTTTACCTTTCTAATAAATTAATGTTCTTTTTCATACTTATAAGTGTCCTTTCCCCTTCTCGTAATTACCCCCGACCCTTTCATCTCTGATAAGTGCACCGTTTATTTTAGCATGTGCCTCTTTTTCTTTATATTAAGAGCGGCTCGTCCCCCTTCTCATAAAATCCCCCTTTCAACTCCAATAAATGCCCCCATTAAAATCTGATCGGTGCTCATTTTATTTTAACTATTTCTCATTTTCCTTTACTATAAGTGCCCCTTTTTTATTTTCATAAGTGCCCCTTTTTATATCTGGTCAGTGCTCCTTTTTACCTCTGAAAATTTCCCTTTTATCAATGATACGTGTCCCTTTTCCTTTCTAATAAGGGACCTAAGTATCACCTTTTCATAAATGCCCGTTTCACCTCTTATAAATGCCCCTATCAAAATCTGATGGGTACCCCTTTTCCGTCGACAAATCCATTCCCATTCCCATTCTCATTCTCATAAGTGCCCTTTTTCATCCCTGGTGAGTGCCTCTTTTTGTAGGTGTAAGAAGTGCTCCATTTTCACCTCTGATAATTACACTTTGTACTCGTGCTCATGTTCCTTTTCTTTTTTAATAAGACTCCTTTTTTCCTCTCATCGTTGAGCGTGCCCCTAATTTCAAGCGACTAAGAGCTATTTCCCCTTAAAAAAAACAGATGATAAAAGTCATTTCAGTCTTCCGTTATGAGAATGTGCTTATCAGGATTGGGTTTTTTTCCTCTTTATAAGATGTAATTTTTCGCAATGCGATCTCACAATTTGTTTTCCACGCTCTCAAATGAATTTTCAAACCATCACACCGAATAGACCAGTTCACGGTTAGCACATATACTGCAATGACCCCCGAATATCCACAGATCTTAAAAACATGAAGAGGTCCCACTTTTTACATTTCGAAATACTCACTCCTACAGCGATGGAGGTGCTATATAAATAGCCTTTGTTTCCCCTTTTCAAAGAATACTTCCACCTGTGTATCATGGATGGCACTGAATGTGCATGAATAAATAATGTTACATAGCTTTCATGAGCACGTATTCAGTATTTCGTCTCCGTGTATTTCAAAATTTGTTCTGCAATGACCTTTATCTGCTCATGCTCAGACTGCAACCGTGAACTGGCTTATTGCAAAGTATAATGCTTAAGCAATTTATTGTATGGCGTATAAAGAAAAACAAATATTGAAATCCTCCCCGATAATGTTATCACTATGTAGGGGTATATACTAATGTCTAAACAATTATTTTCGCTTTAAGATTTCCCATTGAAGGTTTTTTTTTCTAAAGTGTCCTTTTTTGTTGATGCCCCATTTCTCCTCTTTGTAAGTCGCTTCGCCGCCGCTCTTATTTTTGCATTCCCGATCTCTCTCCAATCAATCGCATCAATAAAATAAAATAATAAAAACGGTTCTTATAAAGCGCTTATACCACCGAACTCTCTAAGCTAAGCGCATCTTATTTTGATTAAAGTCCACTTTAAAAGGTATAATACAAAGTTTTGGTATGGGGTCATGAATTTGGTTCAATTGAACATAATTATTGGAAGCATATGCGATTTAAAAATATTCAATGATCGTTGTCGCGGTTGAAATCGAGTCTAAAGTGATGAAATTGTGAATAATATACTTTTTATGTTGCATAGATCCCTCTCAAGACTGATATCATATTTTTGCTTTAAAACAACGTTTCTTGACTATATTTCCGTTTGGAAATTATATATCAGAACTACTTATTCTGACATGGAATGGCCATAGGCGCCGTATGAAATATTTGAAATTTACCGAGAGCACCGGTAAATTTTGATTATTCAATTTCTCCAAAGCGAAATTGTTTTAGGTTCTAAACTTTCTATGCTTATAATACATCCACAGGGGCATCCAAATATATCAACATTTTAAAGAATTACTATACTATTCATCCAATTTTCAAAATTTACCAAGCGGACCTCCCCTAATGCTTCCCCCTTCCCCCTAACCATTACGTCTATGCCCTAACATGCATGCGTCCGTGCTCCCGAGGGTCCAAATCGTAATAAAAACAAAGAAAACAGTAATACAAAATAACGGAGCAAAATATTTGATAAAGTAAACAGGTGAAAAGAAACCAATGAAGACATATAATTAGACAGAAATTATGATTCAAGCATGATGTACGTAGAATATAAATTGACATATTACAACAACAACAAAACTAAGAGATAGTATAGTATGGTGGTAAATTTACAGGGATAATTTTTTGGTATACCGTTGCTTTGGTCCAGTGTCCACATGCGTGTGAATGCAATCTGCACAAAAGGTGTGTTGTTTAACTTGAGAGCAAACGCGTTGCTGTTACTGAATTATTTATTATAAAAATGAATATATAATATATTTAATTTATATTTACTATATGGGCAAGTACTGATGTGAGATTGCGATGTAACACACCACATTATTTTTCTTCTTGTTAACAGGCTTATTACTAAGTCATGTGTAATTTGTGTATACTTGTCGAGCATGGTGCAGTTAAAACTATTAGTTTGTTATGTAATGGTGCAGGTTTTGGTTACTAAAATTCAGTTTGACCAAAACTATACTTTCTATACCAAAACTCGACTATCCCTTTAAGCCGTGAACTTCTATCGTTAATAATTAAAACCTATATATAATGAAACATAACCCTAATGCTAACTCTAACCCTAAACACCTCAATCATTATCCTTTACACATAATCCTAACCTAACCCCAACCCTAATTCTAAACCACCATTTGTAATAGTATAAAGATATGTTACGAATCAACATTTACAATTTCACTATAAATTATATTCCCACATTTGCTCTCACTTTATAATATCAATATCTTATTAGCATGTATTTTGTTGTACTCCTCTTCTCCTCCTTCTGAATGGTGATTGTTTGAGCATTTCATATATAGGCATGTTAGAAATTCTCTGACTTTATGCAATATAATGGAATAAGGATAGTAAGACGATCAACCAATTTGACTACTAAAATAATTATAAACATTTCATTTTAAAAAATTCTTATACTTATCATAACAATGTTGATGCAATGTTTTTTCGCTCTTTTCTCTATTTTATTTATCTTCCCTTTTTGTTCTGTAATCTTGGTTTTATGTAAATTATATACCAGTTATTGTTATTTTGTATATTTTGTGAGGATCATGTTTAACAAGCCATTTATGTGCTGTTCATAATCTTCCCTCTTCATATATCTTATTATATATATGTTTGTATTGAAGATTGTATCATTTTGTTTTTATCTTGCTGTGGAAATAAATAAATGAAATGAAATGAATCTGGATTTTTGAGGATAAGTATGGGAAGATACCTGCACGAAAGCGTAGCCAGGATTTTATTTTAGGGGGGCGGTAGTGAGCACGCAAAGCGTGCGAATCACTTAAAGAGTGGGTGCAGGGAGGGGGAGTTTCCCAAGCTGTGAAAGAAGACGATTCGTTGTACCTTTCTCGACTCATAATCCTTATCTGTATTCAGTTCCCCCTCCCGCGCGAAGCGCGAAAGCTTTGACGTTTCATTAATTTATTAGAGAGAGAAGACGATTCGATGTACCGTTCTCGACTCTTAATCCTTATATGAATTCAGTTTCCTCCCCTCCTTCCGCGCAAAGCGTGGAAACTTTGAAGTTTCATTAAATTATTAGAAAAAGAAGACGACTCGATGTACCGTTCTCGACTCTTAACCCTTAATTTAAACTCAGTTTCCCCCTTTCCGCGCGAAGCGCGGAAGCTTTGACGTTTCTTTAAATCGTTATAGAAAGAAGACGATTCGTTGTACCGTTCTCGACTCCATTCCCCCTTTCTTTCTACGTCCTCTTACTTTTTTTCTTCTCTTTCTCTCTCCTTTTTTTTTTTTTTGGCCGGCGTTTTTTTTTTTTGAGGGGGGGGGGGGGGTGGGGCTACGCGCCTGCATTTTCAGAATTGTGGGTGCCTTAATTTTAAATTAAAAACAAACACAAAATACTTGTTCATTTTGCTTTTGTTTTGTTTTACATGTATTATGTATTGGACTATTTTACTTATTATTAAGTTGTTTATTGTTTGAAATTAAATCTTAATTGTTTAATGTAAAACAGGCCTCTCTTGTTAAGCGGTTTTTATAAACTGAAGAGACTACCCTGTATAAAGAACACAGACAAAATAAATATTAATCAA